TCAGCGCGAAGTCGCACAGACGAGGTTGATATGTTTCCAATTTCATCTCTATAGTAGATATCCTTGGCGGAAGCAGGCAGGATAGTCTAAATAATGCAAAAGAATTTTAAGAAATAATAAAAAAAAAGTGGTACAAATGAGCGAATAGGCGGTAAGATGAAAAGCCATTCAAAGCCTTACAGAGCTCGAGTTTAATATTTGCAAAACGTAAAAACACAACGGCAACTACATAAAAGAGCTACAACTTACCGTAAAGTGCAAAAGAGCCGGCTGTCGTCGACCCCTTCGATCCAGCTGATGGTCAATCCGGGAGAATGGTCCCTAAATTGAGAACTTCAAATGCTAACAAAGGGTGGGCATTAACACGCATCACTACCTTAAGTTCTGCTCCTTTGTGCACAAGTTCGATGTACTCCTCTACAGCAATATTGCCCCAGTGCGAAATTTCAATGGTTCGCTCAACTACTGTAGCGACCACAAATGGAGCATTGTTCTCGTAGTGAATTTTTATGTGTTTCTAGAAAACAGTGCATCATTTTGAAAGCAAAAACGAAATCCAATAATGGTACCTTATTGAAGGCTGGCTGATTCTTATATGGACCATAGACAACTCTCTCATTTTCTTGAGTAGTAGGTGACACTTGGGTTACTGATAGTGTTTTACCGGAACCAAGTTTTACTATAGTCTTCTCTTGTTCAACTGCATATGGTGCTGCATAGTGTGCATTGCCGTGGTACACAACATACCTAGAATTGCATGAATCAAAATTTTATATAGAAAGTTTAGAAGAGTTCCTTCAGTAAGGAAACATTAGAGATACAAATGAGACGCAGCAAGATGCTTTGAAAACAAATTCTTGCTACTAAATTTGCTTGAACGCCTACTTCATGTTGTTTTCTAAACTTATGGAGGATGGAAGATGCTATGGAGTTATATCGCTTTCACAAAGGAATGATTTTATTAATCTTCCACTTACTGATTTTCCCTCTGGGTGATTTTCTCCGGTAGAGGTTTTAGCAGTTGAGTTAGTCTGTACTCGACTTTTAACTTGACTTCTCCACCCTTTCCCACTTGCTTCAGCAGCTCGATTTTATATGACTTAACAACAATCAATAAATCAGCGCAAAAAGAGGGAATACCGAATGTATACTTACGTGAAAGCCCTGTTTCTCCCCCTGCTGTCTGGAAACTTTTAATTTTCCTTTACTGTTACCTTC